TAGAGACAGGGTCTTGCTTTCTTGTTGCCCAGGCTGGAGTGCCGTGGCTCTATCCTGGTTCACTGTAACCTCAAACGACTGGGTTCAAGTGATCCTCCCACCTCAGCTTCCCAAGGCGCTGAGATTACAAGCATGAGCCATCACACCAGGCCTAATGACAGAACAAGGAGGCACCAGGTACAGTAGCAAGCACCTGTAGCCCCAGCTACTGAGTCTGAGATGAGAGGATTGCTGGAGCCCAGGAATTGGAGGCTGTAGTATACCGTGATTGTGAATAGTCACTGCACTCCAAACTGGGCAACATATCAAACCCTTTTATTTTTTTGGAAAGAGTCTCACTCTGTTGCCTGGGCTGGAGGACAGTGGCACTATCTGCTCACTGCAACCTCTGTTTCCTGGGTTCAAGTGATTCTCCTGCCTCAGCCTCCCGAATAGCTGGGGTTATAGGTGTATGCTCCCACTCTTGGTTAAATTTTTTTTTTTTTTTTTTTTTTTTTTTTTTTGACAGATGAGGTTTTACCATGTTGGCCAGGCTAGTCTCAAACTCCTGACCTCAAGTGATCCACCCACCTTGGCCTCCCAAAATGCTGGGATTACAGGTGGGAGCCACTGTGCCTGGCCTCAAGACCCTGTCTTTAAAACTAAAAAAGACAAGGAGGTGGCTCAGTCTGGTACTTATCGGGGTAACACTGGGGTCCCAGTGCCTGGGTTCAAGGCCCAGCTCTACCACTATGTCACCTTTGATCAAGTCATCTAACCTCTCTTTGTACTGGGATGGGCGTGGGGCTGGTAAGAATGCCTCCCTCATAGGCTACCGGGAGGATTTTCTGAAATGCAACCGTCAATACCCTGTACAGCCTTAGTAAAGTCCTCAGTAAATGTTTGCTATTGCTGTCACTATAAACAGGCCCCCTCCTCCAGGGCTCTCTCCATAAAATGACTACCCTCTGAGCAGAAATCATGCCAACTGGAGTTTCAAAGACACCAGAATGACCCAAACTCCAACAGTGTAGGTTGCCCAGCTTCTTGGCAAATCCTGCTGCCCTCAGAGGATGAAAGGGGCCTAAGTTGTACAGAATGCAGACAGACAGACAAATGGACACCAGCATCTTTCTGGAGGCCCAGGAGCTGCATTCAGTGTCCTCACTCTTTCCATGAAATAAAGCTGCTAAACACCCTAGGCATGTAAAGCAATGAAATGAATATCCCAGGTCGTTCCCTGCCAGAGGCCAGGACCACATAGCGGAGCAAAAGACCTTGAGCTGTTAAGCACCACGACGTAGACACACTGGGCTGTATTTTTAGCCTCTTGTGCGCTGTTTCCATCACCTGTGCTGGGCTTTCAGCTGGAAAAGAGCAGGTGGGGGTGGAGAAGGCTAGAGGGACGTTTCTCACCGCTGCCAGGGCCAGGAGGAACTTGTACACGATTTCCAAGTCCTGTTGTACAACAGGGCCAACTTTAGGGGTGTGCAACCTGTGTATCAACATAGGTCCCCTTGCAGGGAAGGGTCCCACACATGCTTTATCTTTTTCTTTTCTTTGAGATGGAGAGTTGCTCTTGTTGTCCAGGTTGGAGTGCAATGCCGCGATCTCAGCTCACTGCAACCTCTGCCTCCTGGGTTCAAACAATTTTCCTGCCTCAGCCTCCCAAGTAGCTGGGACTACAGGTGTGCACCACCATGCCTGGCTCATTTTGTATTTTTAGTAGAGACGGGGTTTCTTAATGTTCGTCAGGCTGGTCTCAAACTCCCGACCTCAGATGATCCGCCCACCTCGGCCTCCCAGAGTGCAGGGATTACAGGCATGAGCCACCACGCCCGGCCTATTCTTTTTTTTTTTTTTTTTTTGAGACAGAGTCTTGCTCTGTCACTCAGGCTGGAGTGCAGTGGCATGATCACTGCTCACTGCAACCTCCACCTCTAGGTTCAAACAATTCTTCTGTCTCAGCCGCCTGAGTAGCTGGAATTACAGGCACCCACCACCTCACCTGGCTACTTTATTGTATTTTAGTAGAGACGAGGTTTCACCGTGTTGACTAGGCTAGTCTCAAGCTCCCGACCTCAGGTGATCCACCTGCCTTGGTCTCCCTAAGTGCTGGGTTTACAGGCGTAAGCCACAGCACCCGGCCTGTCATGAAATTCTTAAGTTTGGACAAAGGACATACATTTTCGTTTCTCACTGTGCCATGCCAATTATATGGCTGGTCCTAGGCAGTGCACATGACAGAGAGAGCCAATTGGACGAGGAGGCTGCAGCCAGCCCCGGAGGGGTGACTTCCCGCAGCAGGCAGGACAGACCAAAGCTACTATCACAAATGTTTCCAATCTCCTGGGTGCCCTTCCTATTTTCTCCTCTGAAACCCAAATGAGATGCAGAGAACCTTGTAAACTGTAGAGAACTGTGCCCTGCTTTGCTAAAGTCTTTCTCAGGCATCCTGTTTAAAGTGGTCCAAAGGTTAGCCAAGTGTGGCGGCATGCCTCTGTAGTCCCAGCTACCCAGGAGTCTGAGGCTGGAGGATCGTTGGAGCCCAGGAGTTGGAGGCTGCAGTGAGCCATGATCTCACCACTGCATTCCAGCGTGGGTGACAGAGGGAGACCCTGTCTCTAGAAAAAGAAAAAGAAAAAAAAATCCGTAGAGCTTTCGGTTAACATCACTTTCTTGTCTTTGTAGCACTTTTCGTTCTCTGAAATTTGCGTGTTTTCAGGTTGACTAGAATGTACGTTCCAAGAGGCAGCTTTGGTCTTGATGGCTGTATCCTCAGCCCTTGGCATGTTCCTCGTTTAATATGTGCTGAACGAAGGAAGGTTCGCCTTTATTGAGTGTTTGCTTTGGGCTGAGGGCTTCACCTGCATCTTCTCATTTCATTCTCTTCAAAGGCACTGCTGTCTGGGAGGGCACAGAAGTCCCAGAATAAGAGTTCTCAGGCCTTGTGGAGAAGGTGGGAAGGGCCCAAAATGGCAGAACAGGGGAAAGCTGACCAAAAGTGGAGATCACCGGTGGGACGTGGGGATGAGGGTCCCCGGGACAGAGGCTGGCTGGGTGAGGGGATGGTGGGTGCCCCTAATCTCCAAGAAGCCCAGAGGATCCCTGAATTCGGGAATGACACATGAAAACAATGGCCGAACAAGATTCTTCTTGCTGCGGCGCTGAGTCGTGTGGGTGGAGAGGGACGGAGATTGCGAGGCCTAGTGGGAGGCAGCTGCGCCCTTGGGGCTCGGCTCTGCGAGCAGCCGTGGGCGGGGAAAGGAGTTTGGGGGACGCGGGCTCTGGGAGTGGGCGAGGGGGCGGCGCCCGGGGGTTGAGGGGGCCCAGGGACGAGTGTACCCAAGGCAGGAAGGGGGAGCCCGGGGGGCCGGTCCCGCCCAGTAGCGCTCTGGGTGCGGCGAGTCTGCACACTGGGGCAGATTTTCCGCCGCCGCGCCGGGCGCAGGTCTGCACTTGCAAGCCCGGGACCAGGGACTTGAAAGCGCCCGGCACGCTGCCCGAACCTGCCCCGCCGGGCGTCACCGCCGCGCTTTAGGCGGGAGCCCTAGGAAAATCCCCTCTGCCTGGGGGGGAATGCAGGGGAGGAGCGCGGCCCACTACCGACCCGGGGCGCGGCAGGGGAAGCCCTTGCCGGGGTGGGGGGTGGTGGTGGGGTGGGCAAAGGGCCTACCACGCAGGGGATGAAAGTTTAAGCAAGCCACGAGCTCTCTCATCCCTGACATCCCAGGCTGTAGAATAAGCAGCCCTGTCCGGTCCATTTCTGGACTTTGCGTTGGGCGTTGTACTTGCTTCTATCTCATCGAATCCTCTGAAGGCCTTTTATTATTCCTGTTCTGCAAACCGCCGAGCCTCAGATCAGGAAACTTACCCTAGTTGGCGCTTGCTGCGTGATGGGATACGGAATCAGGGGTCAGTATATGACTGCAAACTTGGGGTGGAGAAAGGAAATTCAGCATTTGCTGAGCTCCTACTGTGCGTGCGCACAAGTTTCCGAGCTTTCATGCTTTTTTTTGTTTGTTTGTTTGTTTTAAGACAGGGTCTTGCTCTGTCTCAGTGCAGTGGTACGAACACACAGTGAAACCGGGCTCACTGCAACCCGGACCTCCCAGGCTCAAGCGATCCTTCTGCCTCAGCCTCCTGAATAGCTGGGACCACTGATTGGTGGGTTTTTGTTTTTTTGTTTTTTTCCTGTAGAGATGGGTGTGTGTGGGGGGGTGTGGTTCTCGTTGTGTTCCCCAGGCTGGTCTCGAACTCCTGGCTCAAGCGATTCTAACATCTCAGCCTCCCAAAGTGCTGGGATCATAGGAGTTAGCCACCGCGCCGGGCTCCAGGCATTCTTATTTAGTGCAACGGCTCTGGGGAGTAGTAGCTATTATCACCTTCATTTAACAGATGAGGAAATTGAGGTAAAAGCTATTTTTCCTTTAAACCTGCCCAAGGTCTTACAGGTGACTAAGTGGGATGTGAACTCTCCAAAGCAGTCCTTTTTAATCATTACGATGAGCTAAGCAAGGAAAAACAGTTTGCAAACTGCTGCTCTAATTATTACCGCTGTAGCTGAGCCCACGCGCGGGTCACGACCCGAGTGAGGGTGGAGCAGGGGTCACTGGGAGCCCGGCCTATTTCAGCCCCGCCAAACAGCTTGGTGACTCGGAGGCCGGGCCGAGGCCCCGCCCCTCACCTGCTGATCCCACCCCTGGATGGGACAAACCGAGCGCCCTGCGTGGCGGGCCCAGGTGTGGGGAGAGGTGGGAGGGGCCTGATGCGTGAGTGGCAGGAGCGGCCAGCGGCCGGGGCGGGGCGTGCGTGCGCAGTGGGTTCCGCCCCCTGGGCCTCTCCGCGGAGCCGGGCGGGCCCCAGGCTGCAGGGGCGGTGGCGGCACTGAGCGGGGCGGGCCGGGGCGGGGCCGCCGGGCAGCCGGGGCGGGGCCACACTCGGGCCCCGTTCCCCGCTCCCATGGCCGCCCCCGGCTCCCCGTGCTGCCCCCTTTCCCCCGGGCCGCGCCCCGGGGCCCCGCACTGACAGCCCATGGCGCCGCCCGCCGCTCGCCTCGCCCTGCTCTCCGCCGCGGCGCTCACGCTAGCGGCCCGGCCCGCGCCCAGCCCCGGCCCCGGCCCCGGCCCCGGCCCCGGACCCGGTGAGTGTGAGCGACCCCCCGCCGCCCGCCCTGCGCGGAGCCCACTCGAGGAGCGACCAGGGCCGGCCGCCCTGGGGGCCCCCCTCTCCCGCCTCAGGACCTTCCGGGCCCCTTCCCCGAGCTCCTTGGCGACGCCCCTCAGGCCGGGACGATCCCTCCCTGGGACCCGGGCTCGCCCTCAGGCCCCTCAGCGACGCCCCCGGGCCCGGTGCCTTCCTCCGGCTGCAGGACCCGGTGCTCCTCAGCGACGACCCTCAACCCAGGACGCCCTCTCCGCCTTGAGACCTCCAAGCCCCTCCGCGACGCCCCCTGGGCTGGGACATCTCCTCTGTCTCGGGACTCGGGACGCGCTGCCCGAGTCCCTCAGCGACACCAATCAGGCCGGGACGCCCCCTCTCCTCGGTACCTCCTGGGACCCCGCCCCAAACCCCAGCGACTTCCCCTGGGCCAGGACGCCCCCTGCTCCCCGAACCTCCTGGAATCCCATCCCCAAGTCCCCCACCGACGCACCTTGCACTGGTATGGCTCCCCGACTACAAGAGGCTACACCCCCGTCTCCAAGACTCTCAGCGGCATCCCTACCCTGGGCCAGGGTCCCCTCCCCGAGCCTCACTACGACGCCCCCGCATCCCCCTGTTCTCTCCTCCCTCCTACACCGGTGGAACCCGGCGCCTCCCCGCGTAGAGCCGAGTGGAGGCGGGAGGAGCCGGCGCTCAGCCCCTTTTCCCGAGTCCTCAGCTGCACCCGCTTGGGCGGACATTGTAACTTCTGCCTCGCGAGGAACGGGATTGACTTGCTCGCCCTGCTAAAGGCAGGTTAGGGTCCTGGGACGACCCTGTACCCAGACGGGACGGGACGTGCCCTCTCTCTGGGCCGCTTTGAACGTCCGTATGACTCAGGTGATGGCTCAGCAGGGGGAGAGGAAGAAAGGAATGGGTGATTGAAAACTTCTCCCCTACTGAGCTTAGGGTGCTCTTCCTGAGGGTGCAACTCCGAGCTCCGTGTTTCGGGTTACCCCATGCCTTAAACGGGCCGCTCACTGCCCAGGCCAAGCCCAAGGCCAGGTCTTCCTGAGGCGGGGCCCTGGACCAGGATGAAGTTTGGACTTCACTTCACTTCCACACACAACCTTGTAGCCGAATCCTTTCTAAGTTGAAGAGAAGGCAAGAGGGCGTTGCTTGGCGCAGTTACATTTCTCTGCAGGTTGTTTGGGTGTTGGTATAGGACGTTTGTGAAAGAGATGGGAAGAGTTTATTACCCGTCTGCGGGAGTAGGAAAACCCGCCTCTGGGTTCTCCACCCAACGTCGCAGACTGATGTTGAAAAGATGGGATTTTGCTTGTGTAAGAAAACTCAGAGTTGCCTTGTTTACTCATTTGCTTAGATTATCGAAAAAGCTAGGACTTGGTGTTGTCACTGCATGACCTTGGGCCATGGCTTCCGCTCTCTGAGCCTCAGTTTCCTCGTCTGTAAAGAGAGGATGATAACTTCTTTGCAGAGTGTTGTGAAGATTAAATGATACACTGTAGGTAACATACCCACATATAGGAGGGCAGTCAATAAACATATTTCAATAATACTTTTATGGGGCCTCACAGTTCATCAAGTGCTAGACACCTCATTTACCCTGGGAATGCTAAGAGCTTTCTGTCTGATTAATTTCTGTTAAAAGGCAAAACTTGGCTTTAAATGGTAGAACTGGGGTCTCCAAGTGTTGTAAACCTGAGGCTCAGTAAGCAGTTTCTGAGTGAGCACCACCTTTTATGGGACTTCTACAGTATGATCATTTCTACTGTTGTGAGGAGTGAGGGACATTCCGAGAGCCAGGATATGTCAACATAACTGTAACCTAGTAACCCCTTAGCTCAACTTTGCTATCTGTGTGGTCAGGATTTAATGTCCCCTACAAAGGGAAATGTATGGGTGGAAATAGACTGCTTCCCCTCTGGAAAGGGCAGAGTCATAGCTCTGAAAAGCATCAAGTGAGCCAACTCTGCTCGTGCTTGTTGGAAGGTATTCTTTTCCCAAGTCTCTTTGCTTTTTTAATGTCAAGTGCAGCAGCTCTTAGGAAGTTTGCACCCCAAATCTTGGTGTACTTTTATTTAAGAGTCTGGGGTAGGGGCAAATAACCATTGTGAAATGATTTGTGATAAGTGGTCCAAGTTCCCAATTCCATGAGCCTTGCCAGCTTGGTGTCTTACCACCTGGTAAATCAGTGCTTTTTTTTTTTTTTTTTTTTTTTTTTTTGACTTTTCCTGTTTAGTTGCAGAAGCAGTTTTAGGGAGATACCACATGGTCTTCAGCAACATATCCTGTCTAGATCCTACCCACTAGCTTTTAAAATCCTTTCCAATATCACACGCGCACACACACACACACACACACACACACATTTTACTCTGAGGATATGCCAGGATTGCCATATTATATTTTTGATACTGTAATTTTCTCTAAAATTTTGTGGATGGAAAAAATTATTTCAATATTTATATTCTGTACAATTTTGTAATATTTAAATTACTGGTGGTTTGCATTTTTGAATGCTGACTTTATAAAAACAGTTAGCTCATTCCCCATCAATCCTACTTCTAATTACAATGTGTAGCCAACCCCAAATGATCTCCCTTCTTTTCATTCTTCCTTTAAGATTCTCTTCCGGCCGGGCGTAGTGGCTCACGCCTGTAATCCAAGCACTTTGGAGGCCAAGGCGGGCAAATCACCTGAGGTCGGGAGTTCAAGACCAGCCTGACTAACATGGTGAAACTCCGTCTTAAAAAAAAAAAAAAAAAATTCTCTTCCTTCCTTCACAACTCATAAGAAGGAAGATAGAGGGTAATGGAATCTAGATTTTCCTTCAAGGAGGAGTGCAGCTAGGGCCATAGGGTTGATGGGTTCTCTGTAGTGGGTCCCATCTGGAATTTATGGAATTTATGTTCTACTCAAATTGGGTGTTTTACTGTCTTTAGGGTCTATCGGATGCGCATCGACAGAGCTTCTCCTCTCAGGTTATGTTTACTGTGAATACCTTCTATAGGTTTATAGATTGATGCCCATTCTCCTTTAACTCCTCATCTGGAATTTGTCCCACTAGCCAGTAGTGCGTTTGCCATAAAACCTGTGAGTTCAGTTAACAGCTAGAGCATGATACTGTCTACCAATTCTTGGCCCTCTTGGGGACTTCATTAATGCTAATAGAATTACCTGTAAGCAACATGGGGGCTGAATCAGTGAAGGATTGAAGGGTGCATACCAGTTACTTGTATGCTCTGAGTATTTTAAGAAACACCATTTTGACCTGGTATCATCAGAGACCTCTGATATTTTTGTGAAAATATATTTTGGCCCCTAGACAAACTATTTAAATCTTTGAGGCCAGGCGTGGTGGCTCACACCTATAATCCCAGCACTTTGGGAGGCCAAGGCAGGAAGATCACCTGAGGTCAGGAGTTGGAGACCAGTCTGGCTAATGTGGCAAAACTGCATCTGTACTAAAAATACAAAAAATTAGCCAGCCATGGTGGCAGGTGCTTGTAATCCCAGCAACTTGGGAGGCAGGAGAATTACTTGAACCCCGGAGGCGGAGGTTGCAGTGAGCCAAGGTTGCACCATTGCACTCCAGCCTGGGCAACAAGAGCAAAACTCTGTCAATAAATAAATAAATAAATAAGATAGGCAAAATGAGCCCTTTTATTAAATCTTAAAGCAAGAGAGCATTCCATTTAGGCTCACTACTCATAAACAGAAAGTTGATGCCCTCAATATTGATGTTATTGATACACTCATGGCTTAGCATAGTTAGACCAAAAGCAATAAATGAGTAACATAAAATATATTACTTTAAATAGCTTCACAATATACAGATTAGGGATTTTTGGTGATGGGGAATATACCATCTTTAATTTAGAATTTTTGAGTCTGGAATGTCAACTGATGATCTAGGTCAGGTGTGGGCAAACATTTTTTGTAAAGGGAAGACAGTAATATGAGATTTGTGGGCCTTATACTATCTCTGTTGCAATTACTCAACTCTTAAGGGCAAAAGCAGCATAGACAATAGGTAAATGAATAGGTGTGACTGTGTTTCAGTAAAACTTTACGAACACTAAAATTTGAATTTTCTATAATTTTTTATTTATTTATTTGTTTTGAGATGGAGTTTCTCTTTGTTGCCCAGGCTGGAGTGCAGTGGCATGATTTTGGCTCACTGCAACCTCCACCTTCCAGGTTCAGGCAATTCTCCTGCCTCAGTCTCCCAAGTAGATGGGATTACAGGCATGTATCGCCATGCCTGGCTAGTATTTTATTCTTAGTAGAGACGGGGTTTCACCATGTTGCCCAGGCTGGGAATTTCCTATAATTTTTATGTTAACAAAACATTGTTTATATGATTTTTTTCAAAACTAAAATATTTTAAAAATTATTTATATATTTTAAGTCTCAGCTTGTGGGCCATACAGAAACAAGCAGTGAGCCACAGGGTGTGCTTTGCCAAGTTCTGCTCTAGGTCCATGTCTTTTGATTTTTTTTTTTTTCAGTATTCACTGAAAAAAAAGAAAAGGTCTTTTTTCTTTTTTTTTTTCTTTTTTTCTTTTCTGGTCTAGAAAAGGTGACAAGGAGGCTTGATTTTGGTGAATGAATGAACCTTTTACCATTTACTGTTAACTAACTTTGAGATACATATGGGAGAAATGGTTAAAATGGTAAAATTTGTTTTATTTTACCCAATTTAAAAAAAAAATACATAAGGGAGAAGTTCACACACATACATTTGGGTCTTTAATAAGACTTTTAGACCAGGCTCAGTGGCTGACACCTGTAATCCCAGCACTTTGGAAGTCCCAGTTGAATGGATCCCTTGAGCCCAGGAATTTGAGACCAGCCGAGGCAACATAGTGAGACCCTGTCTCTATAAAAAATAAACAAAAATTAGCCGGATGTTGTATAGTTTTAGCTATTCAGGAGGCTGAGGTGGGAGGATCACTTCAGCCT